CAGCAGTGTACTTCATCGATCTGTCTGTTCTGCTCCCCACTCTGTCTCTGGTGAATCCTCTCACTGCCCCTGCATCTCTGGTCTGTACACCAGTTCTGTATGAATGAATAAATCTTTAAAAAAAATTATTGAGTTTAGGTTTTTATATAGATCATGCTTTTGTACAGGAGTATTCTAATGAAGAAATAATTTCATACAGGAATATTCTAATGACTTGAAATAATTTCAGAATGAATTAAGGTAAACTTTAATTGAGCACTTTTAATGTGTCTATTACTGTTGGAGAGAATGAATTGGAAAAGCAGCTTGTTTTTCCATTCATTGATATTTTTAAAGATAACATACCAGTGATTTTGTAGAATTACCTCAGTCAGGGTTTGTCTGATGTTTGTTGATTGTTTAAGTTGTGCATTTGTGTATTAGGATATCACAGAAGTTAGGATGTTCTCTAATTTTAGTAGGTGGTGTTCTGTTTTGTTCCATTACATGTGTTCACTTTGATCACTTGATTAAATGGTGTATCCCAGTAAAGTTACTTTTTTCACTGTACAGTTACTCTTTTTGTAGGTATTTTGTGAGGGGGTAACTTTGAAGACTATGTAGATGATGAATTCTTCATTAAACTTTCATTTTACCTCCTTTTAATGTTAGTATAGGCTCATGGTTTCCTAGTTCAGTGGCCCACAAACTTGAATGTGCATGAGAATCTTTTGGAGGGCTTGTTAAAATAAGCCTCCTGGGCTCTGTCTTTAGAATCCCTGATCTCTGTAATTCTGAGGTTGAACTCAATTTGCATTTGTAATTTCCAGGTGATGGTAATGTTGCTTGCCCAGGGACCAGCCATATTTCATTACTTGTTACTTATTTTAACGCTTATATTACCCCTAACCTGTGACTATCTCACATACAGAGCATATTGATCTTGTATATGATAAATAAGTTCTTTCATTATTTGAGCCCTTTTTTTTTTTTTTTAAAGATTTATTTATTTATGCATACAGAGCTGGGGTACAGGCCAGAGGCTCGGGGCGGTGAGAGGCTTCACCAGAGACAGAGTGGGGAGCAGAACAGGCAGATCGACGAAGTACACTGCTGAGGGGAGCAGCGGGCGGGTCAGGAGAGGTCTGCCACGCCATGTGGTCACCTCCCAGGCAGGCGGGAATCGAACTCATGCTAAAGTGGCTTTAGCTTCTCAGTGCTGTGCTTTAACCCGCTGCGCCACCAGGGAGGGCCTATTTGAGCCCTTTTATTTTTGGCTAATGCAAGACATCCCAGGTTCATCTTGAACAAGTTCTGCTCCTGTTTCCCCTCAACCTGCCTAGCTGTGGGCTGCCCACATACTAGGACACTTGGTCTCTGACTCCCCTCATTGGGTCTCTCCATACCTCGGTGTCTTCCTTACTCGGTCTTTAACAGCAAGTCCTGAGCCATCCGCTTGTGTGGATGCCTTCCTCACTTTGTTAGGGATGCAACACGACACACCAAGTTGTCCACGTGTAAGGGTGCCTCTTCTTACTCTGCTTGGGCTCTGCCGAGCCCAGCTATTCATCCTGTGTGGGCACCTCACCAGTCTGGGCTTTGTTCACTGCACCAGGTGGTGTAGCCTCTCTCCTCTCACATCCCACACCCGGCCACTCTGCGGTGCGGATCCCTACGCTGCTCTGGGACTGAGTTGTTAGAAGGGAAGGGGTCTGTCTGCACAGGATAAAACTAGAAAAAGCAATAGGTTGGGGTTGGGGAGATGTGGAAAAAGACAGCAAGCAAATAGGAATGGAATCTTTGAAACAAAGTCACCTGATCACATAGACAGTAAGACAGGTAAACCTGGAGCTCTGAGCTGTTTTGACTGATGGGAGTTTTGGAAAACCGTGACTCAGGCCAGGCCCTCACTGGTCCTACCTCCGCCTTGCTAAGACACCAGGAGATTTGGAAACAACTGCTTTAAGCCAATCTTTAGTTGACATTGGTCATCGCACGAAGTGCTCGTTTGAACACAAGTGTGTTTCAGTTGGTCTTACTGTATAGTCAGTTATGATAATTGAAAATAATGGTGTAACGGTTTAAGAGCTTAGTTTAAGCCACAAATCAAGCTGTGGTAACTGGTGTGACCCTATAGAGTAGAATTGAGGAAGGACCCCAGTTTGGAAGAATTCATGAAAAGACTTAATGAAAGGAATGATAAGTAATGGCTTTGAAATACGCTTTTCCAGAAATCATCTAAAAACGTATTTCCTTAAGAAAAACAAATGGCCACTATTATGTACAATTCT